TTGCTACCGTTCACACAGACCGGGCGAGGGAGTTTTCTTCACTGGTGTACAAAGAGTGGCTTGCAGACAGTGGCCTGAGGCATTCCCGAACATCGGGTGGAGACCCCGCGGGCAACAGCACGGCAGAGCTCGGAGTGAAGTGGGCGAAGTCGAGGGTAAGAGCCCTCTTGAAAGCTGCGCGAGCGGAGGCAAGGGATTGGCCAATGGCCATACAACAGGCTACGTCATCGGCTTGGGCAAAGGCGTTTCCCTATGCTCCAACGACAAGGACTCCGGCGACCCCGTTTGGCCATGAGGTTTGGTTTCGTTCCAAAAACTACAAGGGCACCGGAGAAAAGAAGCACGACCCGACGGGCGCAAGGTGGAAGCGGGGATGGTACAGAGGACCTTCCTACGATGTGAACCGAGGGCACATCATTCTGCGAGAAGATGGAGGCTTAACAATTGCCAAGAGTGTGAAGTTCAATGTGGTGGACCCAGCCAAGGACCTACCTGATCTACTACAACCGGGGGTAACTGAAGATTTACTTCCAGAGCCTGAAGGTTCCGATGTGTTGGTTCCCAAGGACAAGCTGGAAGCCGAGATCGAGTTCCTGGCTAAAATGCTACTTGAGAAGCGAGCGTTCGAGGAAAAGGACGTGATGTTTCTGTTCGAAAAGCTGGAAGAGCTAGGGAATACGGATTTCCGGGTTGGAAAAAAGACTCCTATGACAAGCTGGTTCACGGGGGCCTACGTGCATGGAGGTGTTGCGGGCCTCAGGACGAACGCCAAGAAGTTTGAGCATGCAACAAGGTACCTTACGGCCTATGTCAAGGAGAAGATCGGGGAAAGGGAGTTCACGGCATTGGGAATAACGAGGAACTCAGCTTTGGGCTTGCACCGAGATGTGCACAACAGCCGCTGCACCACGAACACAGTGTTGCCTTTGACGGAGTTTGAAGGTGGAGGACTGTGGGTTGAAAACAACGACGTGGATGCCGAGAACCAGGTGATCAATAAGGTGCCGGGGAAGGGCGATGTGAAGGGAGAAATTTTATCCTTTCAAAGAGGTGCGCCAGTGAGCTTTCGACCTAACCTTTGGCATGAAGTTCAACCATGGAAAGGGGAGCGGGTGGTGATGTTGCTCTACACCCCTCGCCCTACGAAGCTAAAGCAGGCGGATGTTGATGTGCTTGAAGAGTTGGGTTTCAAGTTGGCTGCAGAAGCAATGGTGGAACCTTCCTATGAGGACCAGGAGGAGACCGGCGAGGACGATAACATCGAGATCCGGAGGGCTTTGTTGGTCACCGAGAGTGACAAGGACGGGGCTTTTGTGGAAATATCCGATGATGATTTGTTTTCGGGCAATGATGTGCAGCGATCTACGCGTCCTCCTCTTGATGATCCTGAAGGTAAGATTCGGCTGAAGAGAATGATCAAGAAGTCCGAGGTGCAGTACACGGAAAACATCGAGGAAGTCCTCAAGAATCACATCGATAACCAGAAGCCCTTGGAAGTGACTCACACTGTGAGTTTGAGTGATGTGAAAAAATCAATTGATGAATGGGCTCCTTCGGCTAGAAAGGAGTACAACAATTTGGTTGAAGGCAAGAAGGCGTTTCGGCCCACCAAGTTCAAGGACCTTCCCAAGGACTGCCGCATCGTGCCGTGTAAGGGCGTCTTCACAGTGAAGCCAGACAGCAGCGAGTTGGGTTTCAAACGTAAAACTCGGTTTGTTGCTTGCGGAAATTACCTTGGTGAGGGCGAGCTAACTGGTGGTGACTTTGACATTTATGCTGCAGGGCTGGATGCTACGTCACTACGGACCATGCTTGCCTACCGCACCAAGCACCCAACATGGGGTGCTGGAGTCACCGACATACGCCAGGCATTTGTACTGGCGCCGTGGATTGGCCGTGCCGTGGCCTTAAAACCACCAGCCTTGGCGGTAGAGATGGGTTTAGCAGAAGCCGACGACTACTGGTTAGTGCTTCAATCAATCTACGGCTTGAGAGAGCCCCCTGCGGCATGGGCCAACTTCAGAGACGGCGAGCTTAAGGAGGCGAGATGGTGGGCGGTCGTGAATGGAGAGAACGTTAAGCTAAAGCTTCAGCAGCTTGTTTCCGACAGTCAAGTTTGGAAGGTGATGAGGGCTGACAACAGCAGTTCTGAGGCACTGGGTTACCTATTGGTTTACGTTGACGATTTGATGGTGATGAGCACCCACGGGGTCATGAAGTCCTTTTTCACTTGGTTATCCAACAAGTGGGAGTGTGATGACTTGAATATCCTCACTGAAGAGAACCCGGTTAAGTTCTTGGGAATGGAGCTTCACTATGTCAATGGGGGCATCGAGATTTCCCAGGAGGGCTTCATCAGGAAGCTGTTGCGAGCGCACAATCATGATGGAGCTCGAGCAAAGACGCAAGGCCCTAAAGAAACGCTTATTATGTCAGCAGAAGAGGAGGCAAGTATGTTGGAAGCAGCCCCAATCGACCTGACCGGCAAAGAGCGGATTGTGAAAGAAGCTCAGCGGAGGGTTGGTGAGATGCTATGGCTTGCGTCGAGAACACGACCGGACATCATGTATGCCACGGCGGTCATGTCATCAAGAATCACAAGATGCCCAGAAGCAGTGGTCACCATAGGAAATCGTTTGCTTGACTACTTGAATGAGACGATGTATGAAAGGTTGAGGTTTGCGAACGACCAAGGTGAGAACCCTGGCCTACGGACCTACACCGATTCGAGCTTTGCTCCCTCCTCAGGGAAGAGTCATGGATCAGTGGCTATTTTCTATGGAACGTGCCCTTTGTCATGGAGAAGTTCAAGACAACCTTTAATAGCTCTCTCAACCGCAGAAACAGAGCTTATGGAGGGTGTGGAGGGGGCGGTGATGACCTTTGCCACTAAATGCCTGCTTGAAGAGGTCCTGGGTGTTGTGTTGAAGGTGGGTCTTCACATTGACAACCAAGCGGCGATTTCGTTGATGACTACAGCGGCAGGAAGTTGGCGCACAAGGCATTTGAGGCTGCGAGCTAACTGGGTCAAACAGAAGATTCAAAATGACGAGATGATCATCAAGCACGAGCCAGGATCTACCCAAAGAGCCGATATTGGGACGAAGCCATTACCAAAAGACAGGCTGATGGAGCTGAAGCAGCTTTGGGACATTAAGGACCGCCGGCCGATGAAGAAGGTTGTGATCAAATCTATGAATATAACTTCGTGGTTGGGCCGTTTGGTCATGATGTCTCAGTTCTATGGAGCCGCGGGAGACAAGGAGGGGATCCAGACGGAAGTGCCCTGGGACCTGTACATTGTCATCATTGTCATGGCGATTGCGGTGATTGGCTTATGGGAAGCTTTGAAGAGCTGTGTAGGCCAAAGACCAATAAGGGTGCGGACGCTACGGGCACAGTCAATACAAAGTACTTCCAACAGGTTGACTCGAAATGAGTTAAAGGAGCTGCAGATGTTAATGACGATGAACCCGGAGGACCTCGAGGATGAGCAGAAAATTCGTTTGCTTGACTTGAAGAACCTGTTTGAGCGGACGATGCCGGCGGGCACATCGCCTGTTCCTACGGTGAGGACGACAGAAGAGTTTCTTTCTGATACACCGGCGTCATCTACCACATCCTCCTTCCTTCCGAAGACCGCAGCCCCTTCTACGTACGCGACTACTACGACAAAGTCGAATAAGCAGCCAAAGGCGAAGGTGCAGATGAAAGATCAAGAAACGCAAACGACTACCCCTGCGTTTCAGCGAGTGGAGTCACCACCCCCAGCACAAACAAGGGTCGTTGCAGGCCCATTCTACCAAGTTGAAGTTCGAGAAGTTGTTCATGTGTTTGAGAACTGCTGGGGCTTACGGAACGCTGGCAGGAAACGCACCGTCAACCTTTGTCGTTGCTGCATTGAAAACGGAGGGAACCGCATCTACTAGAAAGAGTGGTGCGAACCTTTCGGTGTGCACCAAGGAGCTAAAGCACTGCAAGCTTAGCGGACTAGGCATCACGAGCAGTCGGCATGCAATGTACAAGAGCCTCATAGGCCATGCGTGTGAACTGCAGATCTAGCACAGTGCCATGTCCTTGCTTGTAAAAAGAGTCGCGTGAAGGGTTCCTGCTTCATGGTCGGTGCGGTGCTAGCTGCATAAATCCTTCTGGAAGCTGCCCTACAACACAAATTCGAGAAGTGGTACTTCAAAGAAGTTCAGCACTAGAATAGGGCTTGGGGTACACTCTACCAGAATACTACAGTCTTTTCCGACGTCTATATTACAGCCTCAGGGGACCCTGGGACACGTGATGGTCAGGTGCTTCGCGTGCGCAGCGTTTCGAACTGAAGGGGTGTTCAGGCTTCAGTATCATAGGGGCCGAAACAAGTAGAACAGGGATTATCAATGCTTGCGTCCCCTTTCTCTTTCTTCTTCAAGAACCGGCCCAAAACAAGTTCAAACTTTCTAGGATAGCCCAACTATGCGAGGCCAAAAAGTTTGCAGTTCTCCCACTGGCGAGCTAAGATATTGGAATGCTAGAAATCCGGAAGGAGCCTTCTCAAAAGTCAGGGCGCGAGACCACGCCGCATGCAACACATCCAAACAAGCTCCAAACCCCCGCACCCTGAAGAGCTTCTTAAGCTACTACGGCTTGGCATGAATTGGGGGGTTGTTTCCCAAACTTCCGGAAAAGCCTCCTTATAGCAGCTGCTATCAGGCCATGTAGCCCGTGCAAAATGCCGGCAGGTAATGTGTAGGGGCCTGAATAGTTAGAATAGGGTTTGGGGACCCATTCTACTATAGAAAATTAGGACCCCCCCAAAAAAGTATAGGTAATTATTAAGGCCCTCATATCATAGAACCCTACTATAGACCCCTTTAAAGGAACCCCCCAAAATAGTGTAGGTAATTATAAACGCCCCTAGAGTAGGGCCTATAGATAATAGTATTACGAGGCCCCAAAAAGTAGAGCTTTGGCGCTAGAATCCCACAATGCCGCAACAGGGCGGAGGCCGCCTGCGCCTCTTTTCTGGCCTTGGGCCACAGCGGTTTGGGGTTCCTTTAATTAAAAGGGTTCTTTTCCGCGTTCCTTTAAAGGGGTACTAAGAGGGTACTATAAGCGTTCCTGTAAAGGGTTACGAAGAGGGTACTATATGCATTCCTTTAATGGGTTTAGGGCTTAGGCTTTAGATAGGGTTTAACGAAGGCTTGACCAAGGAAGAGCTAGCCTTAACTTCAACCCAACGGTGTCCGAGACGGGTATCTGAGGGGCAAGATCAGTTCTTGGAGGCTTGGCTTGTTGGGGTGGGACTCTTGGGCTTTGTGGGGTCGTCAACACTTCGGGGCTTAATTTGGTGAGTTGAAGCACCAAACCCTAACTAAAGCCTAAACCTTCGTGGTCGTCTTTATGTTGAAGCCTGGGGCTTGAAAGCGGGCCTAGCCTTCGCGCTTGGGAGTTTCGAGTTTAGGGCTTGGTCGTGTGGAGGGCTGAAGTTGGGCTCCGGGCTTAATAAAGGGAACTCCAGAAAGTTGGAATATGGTTTCAGGGTAGGATACCTTATAATTTACCATAAAGGGTTTAGGATAATCATATTCCAGCTTTCTGGCTTTTACTTTACTTGTATCTTGGGAATCAAACCTCTGCTTTTCGGACGCCTTGTCCAATCCCACATGCAGCATCTAGGCTTGGGCCTCGTGGCGATTACACTTTATTTGCGCAAATGTTGCTCACATCGGCTTTCGAGTGAGTATTAGGCTTTAGAGAAATGGGGCTTCAGCACAACTGAACTCCAACATAAACGTTAAACATCTAAAGCCAGAACGAACCAAGCGACACAGGGCCAGTGCAGGTTCTGCCTGGCCTTCGACAAAACCCCAAGAAGGCAACGCATCTCTTTCTGGCTACTCTGCAGGACCCTTGGGCTCACTTTGAGCGCCCAGTGTAGCCGGCAACACGCCGTCCTGGACAAAAGAGTGCTAACAATTGGTGCAGATGGGCGCAAGTAATTATAGCGGCATTAACAACTGGACTAGGATTATGCAGTGAATGATACCACACTCTCCCCTAGCTCGTGCTACGGGGCGGGGCTTCCTTGTCAGTCAGAAGTGGCTATGAATGCTGATTGGCCGACATAGTAGCTCTGCTTTGGGTCCTGCCGCCCTGGCTGGCCGCGCAGCTCCAGGTCAGCAACAGGGCCGATATCCTTACCAAACACAATCTGATGCAGAAGATGGTTTTAGGAGTCAGAGTTGCAACTTTTTTCTCTCCTACCTAGCAACTTAGGATTAGAGACTGCTTGTGCTTTCTCTGCCATATTCGGCTCAGGTAGATGACATCACAGACTTTCAACAACCGAACATCCCCTCTCCGGCGCGACGGTCCCATGACATTGCTGAGACGCAGCATCAAAGGCTTATACAGGGCTGCAACCCTCACGACACCGCGTGGACCACCGGCACGCGTAGCAGCGGGTATATGGAAAAAAGGACCTGGCTTACTAAACCACCTTGAAAGCCCAGAACACTCGAGCCGAGAATTCCAATATCTAGACTTTGCCGTTTGGAGTAGGTTTAAACCCTTTTTATAAAGCCTGACAGCACCTCAATTCATGGCGGTTCGTGCACCGCGTGATCAGCACTGCCAGGCATCGGTTTTGGTTGAGGCCTGAACACTTACGGGTGTCCCTGCCTTATTGCTTGTGATCGAATTGGGGAGGGGCGTGGTGGGTGGGTTTAAGATTTTGAGGGCTTCGGCCCCAAACCATTAATTATTTCAGAGGATGGGATCAGTGAAGCCGAGCAGCCACGTAGCGCTGCCCTGGCGAAAGCAAACAGCCTGATGGACAGCCGAATAGCTCTAAATTCCTTTTTTGCATCCGAGCTGGGAAGTCAGCCAGGGAAAGTCACATGTCTCCCAAATGTTTCATGATGTATAGCCCTAGTTAAGGTCTTACTGCGTCAACCCCTAGTAAATTTAGTGACCGCTGCAGTACTACAGGGGCCTTAATAATTAGAACAGGGTTTTGGGGTATACGTTACTATAAATATCATAATGAGCATCCGCAAAAAAAATCTGTAACTATTTAAGCACCTATGTTAAGCCTTTTCACCGGCACACTGTGCCGGTGAGTGAGGAGCTGCTAACCACTTCGGACCATCCAAGCCCCAAAGCCTGCAATATCCCTCAAGTAAGGAATATACCCCTGAAGGTTCCTTGAAGGAAAGGGTTTATGAGGGTTCTACACGGGAACTACGGAATATACCTACTATAATTTGAAGGTATATTCCTTCATTCAGGCATATCGGAGTCTTTGGGGCCAGGCTTCAGGCTTTCAGATCTTGGGCTGGAAGCTTGGGGTTCTACCCACGGGTTTCCGCTTCAGGGTTTAATGCTTAGCGTTTAGGGCTCGAAATTTAGGGTTTGGGGCTTCGGCGCTCACACTCGGACAGTCTAGGCGGGGCATGTGCTTCGGAGTCTGCTGAGTGGGACAACTCCAAGGGGGCGTTTTAGTTAACAACTCATATCCATACGGCTACAACAATCAAGTAACTGTGCATCTCGCAGTGTGCTACTCCCACTCAAGATCACCATATCAGCGAAAGGAATAAGGTGTAACCCAGGTGATCTCAAGTAAACGACTGCAGATCTGAGGGCATCAAGGGAATAATAATTATTATATGTAAGCCGGCAATGGCCGTGGGACCATTAGTCGTGATCTGTGTGTGAACATCCGTACGAAGTTCGGTTGAAAAAAAGAATCTCGTCTTGAATTCTGTGTTAGTTGTGATGATCTTTACATTCCTCCTCAAAGTAAAAAACACCCATGTCTAAAACCGTTCGAACTATGCAGAGATTGCAGATATCCCAAATAAGACCTATAGTTCACATAAGAACAACATGTTAAACGAACCGTCATGCATTGCAGATTCTACCCCGCGCTCATTGTTTGTACAGGCTTCTTGCAATGTATTGTAAATTCCAGATTGGCCTTTCCGCAACAGTCTTGCCGTGCAGGTGATGCAAGAGCTGATTCCTACAGCCAGTGACCAGACCTCCATCCCACTCAGGTCCATTGTGCTGCAAATATGTAGTGCTTGCACTCACCTGCAAAGTATGAATTCCAGAATTCGTCATGCCATCGAATTCCGACAGCACTTTGTTCATGCAGAACACGTTGTGGACCCCGGTGGTTCAAAACGCCGTCACCTCTCTATCGCAGTCTGCATCCCTGCATTTGGTTGAATTATGAATTGTTTAGCCATAGCTTCCACCCAAAGAATTGCATATAGTCCAATGGTCATTTGTAACATGCATCCAAGACTTGCCTTATTCTCCGCATTCCTGCATTGAACACTTCCAATCATGCAGACCTCATGCAGCTATGACGTCCTGCACCAAAAACAGGTAGGAATCCAATGGCCACTTCCAGATTGCCACTTATCGTCACAGGCCCGTCGCATGCAATGTGGTGACATTCAGACCATCCATCAGGGCTCCAGTCCATGGCTGTGTTCCGTCACTGGCTGGGTCCCGTCAGCATGTTAGGGTTTCAGCCAATCATGATGCGCCGCCAGCATAACCGTGATTGTCCATGAGCGGTGGCGCGGGTTAGTTGTTTCAAGGGAAACTACTCGTGGAATAAAACATTCTAATAACGGAAGTATAGTAAATAGAGATAGGGCTTTAACAAGGACCAAAATTAAAGGAAGACTCAAGGCATTATGTATACTGCTTTCCCATGTAAACTGGAATTTTAGCCGGGCATGAACCCTCACACAGATGTCTGTGTATTACACACCCCATCTACAAAGCTCTCGGTAGGAGCAGGGTTTCCGCGGACTCCGTGTCGTGTATGGAAACCAAGATTGGGAAACACTATTAAGCTGTGTAACAGATACACCAGGGTGCCTAGGCATGGGTTCCTCGGTTTCACGTTTATAGTTGTTTTGACCCAACTGTGTGCGGGGCAACGTCTGGCTACAGAACTTCCTTGTCACCAGGAAGGATCTAGCCACCGTTTCGGTAGATGACAGACCGCGCGAACGGAGTGTAACATGTCCCATGTACCCCGACCATGCGTCACATACCTCAGAGTCCGATCTAGAAGCACGATGACAATCGAAAACACGTGTACAAAGATCGAAGACATGGAATCTGGCAGAGAACAACTTGTGCTCAACCGATTCACCGGACCTCTCCAACGCCAACTTACCTTAGGATCTATGCTCTCTTCAAATTGATCCTGATGCTTGTTGGTACGCTCACCACAGCAGACTTTTTGGCTGTAAATCCAACCAATGCGACACCAGGATGAGCAAGCAAGGCAAAAGCATGCAAACACAATAAACCAGGAATCCAGCGCTGATGCTGTGTGACAGCACAGCCATGACGGGAATGGAGAGCATCAGTGCCACCTGACCCACCAGCCAGCTCACTGAGGGCAGAGGCCCCTGCGGCACCTGCTCGGAGTGACTGTCCGCGTGGCCGGGCGCTTGCGTCCTTTCTCGATCCCAAACCCTAAACCCCATCCGTTGGACCGCAAGAGGCTGTTAAAATTCCAAGGTCAGGCTCTCCCGGCCTGTGGGAAACAACCGGGGCGGATGCCAGGTCGAGCGACGCGGGCCTTGCAGCAAAAGCTAGGGCCAGGTCTTGCACGTGCGCATCGCTGGGCAAGAGTGTGTGCACAGGCTGGGCAGGAAGCTTGAGCCAAAATGGCTAGGGTTTGGGGTTTAGGTTGTGGGTTTGGGATTTAGGGTTTAGCGTTCAGGGTTTGGGGTTTTATGTTGACTCCTGATGAACTTCTGTTGACGAACATTAGGCTCCCTGCTAGTGTTCCCGATTTTTTGCCACCTACATTGGTCAGTCTTTGGGGTTTGGGTCTCTGTGCCACCCAGCAAGCACAAATTACTATACAAAAGTAGGGAAGTCAAATCAGGTCGATGTAGGGTTGCGAGGGATGTCTGTTCAGCAGCATCCTGTGGATGTGAACGGGTCGGCATCAACGCACAGGGTTAAAGGTCAGTCAGTTTTCGCA